ATCACGGCTCACTGCAACCTCAACCTTCCGGGCTCAGGCCACCCTCCCACCTCAGCCTCCCATGTAGCTGAAACTATAGGCATGTGCACCCATGCCCAGCCAATTTTTTTTTTTTTGTAGCGATACAGTCTCACTACGTTGCCCAGGCTGGTCTCAAACTCCTGGGCTCAAGCAGTCTTCCCACCTCAGCCTGAGTGCTGGGGTTACATGTGTGAGCCACTGTGCCCAGCCCCAGCTAGCATTTATTGATCGCTTACTGTATTCCAGGCATTATTCTAAACCCTTTTCATGGATTGGCTGGAATTGTCAAGTTTTCCTGAGAGATCGTAAGCAGAGTTAGGATCCTGACCATCTTTATTGCTGTATTTCTGATGACGAGAATAGTGTCTGGTATTCAGTAGGTGCTCAGTATGGATATGATTCATTGAATACTATTTGGTACTTACTATGTACTAGGCATGGATCTAATTCTCACAACAGCCCTGCCAGAGGTAGGAAAGGGGGAAGGGGCCTATCGTCTGTGACTCCTGGACCTTAAGGGGTCCCAGGGCTTCTGGACCTTGTTTCCGTCCTTGTGGTTTCGGCTGAGACCTGTGTCACTGGCCCCTGCCCATTCCATCCGTCTCTCCGAATGGACCCACGTGCCTTCTGTCACCAGTGACTTACATACTCATGTTTCACATCTTATTAGAACCTCTCGGGGTGGGGTGGGCCTGCTTTAGACTAATTGAACCAAACATGAGTTGTCCTTATCCTTTTCTCCATTTCCAAGATAAGTATACTGAGGCAGGGGTTCAGCTGTTTAACCCAGGCTCACACAAATGAGGGATGGAACCCAGGCTGGCAGGCACTTGTGTTTTTTGTTTTTGTTTTTGAGTTGGAGCCTTATTCTGTCACCCAGGCTGGAGTGGTGACAGAGTAGCTTCAGCTCCTGCAGCCTCGACCTGCTGGGCTCGGGGAACCCTTCTGCCTCAGCCTTCCCAGGAGCTGGAACTATAGGTGTGTGCCACCACACCTGGCTCACTTTTGATTGATTGCAGAGAGGAGGTCTTGTCGTGTTGCCCAGGCTGCTCTCGAATGCCTGGTCTCAGGCAAGCGATCCTCTCGCCTCTGCCTCACAAAGTCCTGGGATTATAGGCATGAGCCACCACTCCTGGCCCATCTTGAGTTCTTGTTTTTTTTTTTTTTTGGCTTGTTCGATCACACGGGACAGTGCTTTCTTGTCTGTCCGCTTTGCCCTAGGGAGGCCCTGAAGAAAATGAAGGATGTCTATGAGAAGACACCCCAGATGGGGGACCCCGCCAGCCTGGAGCCCCAGATCACGGAAACCCTGAGCAACATTGAACGGCTGAAATTGGAAGTGCAGAAGTATGAGGTAAGGAGAGACCCTGGGGAGGGAGGGGCGGGGATCAGCGGGCTGGGCTGAGTCACTGCCGGGTGGGGGACAGGGAGGTGGGGGGTGCCCCAGCTGTTTCTCATCACAGCGTCGGGTGATCTCAGGAAGCAGCCGGGTCCAGAGTGGGCTGCCCCCAGAGCCCTGCCCTGGAACGGGTCTGTGGTCCCCTCCTCCCAGGCGTGGCTGGCAGAAGCCGAAAGTCGGGTCCTAAGCAACCGAGGGGACAGCCTGGGCCGGCACGCCCGGCCTCCCGACCCCCCGGCCGGCGCCCCACCTGACAGCAGCCATAATCACGGGTCACAGGACAACAAGGAGAGGTCAGTGGCGATGACGAAGCGGGTCTGGCCCCGGGGACCCGGGAGGGCCTGTCGTTTTAAATTTGTGGTAGAGATAGAGTCTCACTCTGCTGTCCAGGCTGGTCTCGGTCTCCTAGACTCGTGAGACTCCTGCTTCAGCCTCCAGAAGCGCTAGGATTGCAGGCATGAGCCATCGTGCCTGGCAGGCCTTTTTTTTTTGGGAGTCAGAGTCTCACTCTGTCACCTGGGCTGGGGTGCAGTGGCACGATCACAGCTACTGCAGCCTTGACCTACTGGGCTCCGGTGATCCTTCCACTCCAGCCTTCCAAGAAGCTGGGACTCCAGGCATCACCACCATACCCGGATAATTTTTGGATTTGATTGTAGAGACAGGTCTCCTCAAGCTGGCTAGGTTGGTCTCGAATTCCTGGCCTCAGGCCGTCCTCCGGCCTCGGCCTCCCAAACGCTGGGGGGTTCCGGGTGTGAGCCACTGTGCCCGACAGGCGTCTTGATCTGCCAAATTCCTCCCCACCAGTTCCGAAGAGCCTCCCTCGGAAGAGGGTCAGGATGTTCCCATCTACACGGAATTCGATGAGGATTTTGAGGAAGAGCCCACGTCACCCATAGGTCACTGTGTGGCCGTCTACCACTTCGAAGGTGAGATCGCCGGTGTGGGCTTGGGGTGGGGGCGGTGGCGTCGCCCTCCGGCGACTCGGGGCGTGTCTCTGGCCGGGCTCTGCTTCCGTCCGCCTAAAGCCCACCTGGGCCCGGCCCCCTCGCCACGACAGGATCCAGCGAGGGCACCATCTCCATGGCCGAGGGTGAAGACCTCAGCCTCATGGAAGAAGACAAAGGCGACGGCTGGACCCGGGTCAGGCGGAAAGAGGGCGGCGAAGGCTATGTTCCCACGTCCTACCTTCGAGTCACGCTCCACTGAGCCCCGCCTGGGCCCGGGAAAAGGGGGGCTGTCGGCTGCTGCTTCCGGGCCGCGGGGGGGCCCGGGACCTCTGCACTTTATTCTGCCCCGTGGCTTCGGCTGAGACCTGTGGAACCTGCTGCCCCCACGGTCCCGGTCCCACCTGTCCCTCCACACGGACCCGCGTGCCTTTTTCCAGCAATGGACATACTTAGGTTTCAGATCTTTTCTTCCTACCGCTCCGGCTTGGGCCGTTTTGTTTTATATATAAAAAAAAATTATTATGAAGTTCTTGGAGTCTGTGCCTTACAAGGGGATTTAGAGGCTGGGGCCGGATCCCAAGATGACAAGGGGAGGTGAGCCGGGATGCCAGGGTGGGTCTGGCCCGGGGAACCCAGGAGGGCGTTTAAAAACAAAAAAGTGATGGGGTCTTGCTATGTGGCCCAGGCTGGTCTAGGACGCTCTCCTCCTTCCGGGCCATACCGGCAGATTTGGGCAAATCCTGCCCCCTCCCGGGAGTCGGCTTGACACCAGTGGGGGCTCGTTTGTGACTCTGGTCTAGGGAGAAGGGCCCCCAATTCGTCCTTTCTGTCCACGGTGCAGCTTAGTGAGAATGAGTAGCATTTATTGAGCACGTACTCCGTACCAGGCATTCTCCACCCACAATCTCATCTAAAGTTTGAGCTTGAATCCCCCGGCACAACCCCTAGAAAGTATCCGGGCAGACAGACACAGAGTGGTCAAGCGATCTCCTAGAAGTCACACAGCTTGGAAGAGGCAGAGTCAAATTTGAGCTCTGGCCTCTGAAGCCGGATCTGCAGGTTTTCTGACCATAAAAGCCACATGTTCTCCATGACCCAAGTGATCCTGTCCCCCCCCTTCTGTGAGGCACCGGGGTGCGTTTCTTGGTCTCAGGGGCTCCCGGGAATCGGGGGGGTCTCAGGCACGAAGAAGGGGCCCGAAGCTCCCAGCGGTCAGGCTCCAGGCGCCGCGACGGGACGCCGAGGCCGCGCGGCACCCCGGCTCCCCCGAGCGGTCTCCGCAGAAAGCGTGTGGTCAGGGCCTGCCTCGGCGCCGGTCAGGCGGGAGTCCTGGAGACGAGGTCCGGCGAGCTGGGGGGCGGGCCCCGGGCGCCCGCCGCGCCCCCACCTTTCCCCTGAGGACTTTGACCCAGCAGGGGCGGGGGGGGCGGGGGGAGCTCTGCCCCAGTACTTGGGCCCACCGAGTGGGGTCAGCAGGGCGGCCTAGCGTGGAGGGCGGGGCCTAGGGCGAAGAGGCGGGGCCTAGGGAAAGGGCTCAGGGCGAGCCTAGAATGGGGGTGTGGCCTACGGCGAGGGGGCGGGGCCT